TACTTCACCCGCAAGTCAACAGATGGCAGCACCTACATTAGGGAAAAATCAGATAGTCCAGTGTTTTAAGGTGGAACCCAGATTTGAGACAATATTTTTTGCTGCTTCTTGGAGATATGACCATGCTGATCTAGAATCAGTCGAGTGCAAATTTTCCCACAGAGATTCCATAGGGCCTTGCGAACTTCGGGGAGATTATACAAGGCCGAAAATTACAAAACGTCGGTACTATCTTCCTTTTACGATATCATTTCTCAAAAAATCAGTCCTAAAATTCATAATTACAAATCAATCAAGATATCATCATCACTCAAAATAGTTCATAATTTCATAACGTAACTTTCATCGGATAAAATCCTGCTAGATTATGGCAAAGTTAGGGTAGGTTCACCAAGGCCGTGAGGTGTCACAAATACACATCGTTCATATTTCTCAAACCAGCAATTTAAGCATGCAAAATATTAGTTATCAAACACTATGGCATTCGTTATTCACCACTTTTATATCTCCAATCGCAGCTTGTCATTGTGTGGAAACAAAATGTAGATGTTCACGGCAAATGTGCAGTGTTGAGTCAGCACACACACACACACACACCCACACACACAACACACACACACACCAAAAATACACACACATATATACATATACAATAAATAAATAAATAATAATATATATATATATATAATATACACATATAAAACATATGTATATATATGTATATATGCATATATATACATATGTATATGTATATATATATACATACATATATATATATATATTTTTTTTCTTTAATTTGTATATGTATGTACACACACACTCACACACACGCACAGAGGCGCGCGCGCACACACACAAAACACACACACACACACACACAATAATATATATATATATATATATATATATATATATGTGTGTGTGTGTGTGTGTGTGTGTTGTGTGTGTGTGTGTGTGTGTGTGTGTGTGTGTGTGCATGCATATATATATATATATATATATATATATATATATATATATATATATATATATGTATGTATATATATATTATAATATAATAATATAATATATATTAATATATATATATATATCTGTGTGTGTGTGTGTGTGTGTGATCTGTATGTATGTATGTGCGTGCGTGTGAGTGAGTGTATGTACTATTCATAGATTATAATGGAAAGCCTATCTGCTTTCTCAACTACGTAGAAAGGAGAAAACGCGGCTGCCAGAATGTTGCGACACGTTTCCATTCCACCTGCCAACAAAGAGAACAGATGTTTCAGGAAACGCAAGTGCGGAGAAACGGCAAGGAGCGATTACGTGAATGTATTGCTCAACACAGCTGTGATATGACTAAGAAGATATTGTGAAATGTATGAATAAGAATGAATTCATAATACAAGAATTCGATTAACAGTATCATACATTAGCAGAATAAAATGTGTTTCAACATTGTCACAATGGCCATAAACATTGGGGCAAAATATTTCGCAGTACACGGTTTTAAGCGACATTTATCGACAGCAACAGCTAACCATAAGAGGACAGTTGTTAAGAAGGGTTTGTAATTAAACTAGAGAAAAGAAAAGGATTTATTTCCTGTACCAATTAGCAGATGTTCTTGTGAAGTAAGGGAAGGTTTAACAGCACTTTATAATGTACAGCTATATTTAAAAAAAGAAAAGATAAAGAAAAGCTGTGAACATATATGTGTAAAACTTTCAAAAATGTTTCTTCAGACAATTTCATATTCGTAAATCCTTGAAACACTTTTTCTCTTCGAAAACTCTGTCAACCTGAACTTGACCATTTCGTGGCATAGAAGGAGCCTTACTTAATCCAGTGACGGAATGATTATAGCCTTTTTCCTTTTCTTTTTTACTGTCTTCCCTAAACCTGCGGGCTCTTTCTGATAGGTGATTTGGCATGGAATATCAGAAGGAGTTGGTGTATGAAAAAAACTGTGATCCTCATTTGCAACATCTATGATGATTATACGGACTCTGTTTTCTTACCAGCAGCCTTGAGTATATCGGCCCTGGTCCCCGGCCCGCACACATAGTAATCATGCTGAGCCATGCTCTGTCCTGATCGAGTGCGAGCCGGCACATCTTCGACCCATTTTATTATCAGTCTACTCTATAGACTCGGAAGACACAGGAGTGTCGTGATTACCACTCTACTCCATCTTACGGTCGTGCTTTAAAGAAACTTCGAACGACTCGAATACTTACTCTAAAAAAAAGTCAACGAAAGGGTCCGCCAGCTCCGACGCTGGCGTTCGGACGCAACGAAAAGTGTTTACTTCGAGGATAAACGCTACTTCCAAGCGAAATAGAATTGGCGCGATTTTCAGCTCGGCTATCATTTAAATGCTAATGAATGATTTGTTAGTGGACAGCCAATCTTAAAAAAAGAGCAATTTTGTTGACTCAACACAATAATAATTCACCCACATTCACATATACTGTCACACATACAATACTTTCTCTGACATATA